ATAGCCTAGCCTTGAACAATTTAAGTCTTGGAGGGAGATGAAGAAGCTTTCATACATTGAAGGCTATATCTGAGTGGCGTGGCAGATTCTTGACGATGATCATCTATATATGAATCTGCCACCCCACTCAGATCTGATTTCAATTTATGATATTATTCCCTAATTGATCCATCGTTGTTAACAACGTACATGTATGTTTTTTTATGTTCTTTTTTCAATAATTATTTTAAGTCTAGTAGGAAAAAAATAATTAAGGTGATGTAAATCTTAGTCCCTTCGGGGACATCCGAATAAAACAACACAAATCTTGATTATGATGTTCATAAGTTTTAATTATTGCTAGAAAGAAAGGGGGCCATCATAATGAGTTAAAGAAAGTACTTCTTAAGTTTCTGTGTCATTCGAAATCAAATCATGGTTTCCATACTTTCATTGAACATTTGTTGCATGGTGCTGTTAATTCTCTGGCGACAACTGCCTCTTTAACTCTTCAAGAAAGTCAGATGAATTGTTTAAGATCATGCAAACCTGTCTTCCATTAAAGTTCTGAGCCTTGCCGAATTGAAATTCACAACCAATCTTCCCAATGTTATGTCCTCCTTCAGGTGTAAGAAAAAAAAGAACAAAAGAATTTCCAATTAAATGCATGTATACTTGCAAAAAATAAGGGGCAAGTTGTAGAAGACTAAAGTAATGGGATCAGAAAGTTACCTCAAGGAGTTGCCACTGTTTCCCTCTCATCAAATTCCTCTAAAGGGAAAGCCTAAGGAGTTTCGCTGATTATTCCCATCTGGTCTGGAATTTCAGCCATGGCCTAATTCAAAAGTCGACTCCTTACTATCCCTTCTTCCCGTTAACACGGGATAATATGGTCCACCAGCCTAAGAATGTAGGAAACACCACATGATAAGAAAAGAACTGTCAGAATGTCCAAATTAAAATTAAAAATTAAAAAAACAAAAAAAAAAAAATTGAAGGACCCATGAATCCTAATTTCAGGTTTCTATCAAATCAAGCTTGAAAACATCAATGATTTTCGAAAATTTGGACTTATTTTTTTTTTCTTTTTTAACAAGGAGGAAATTTGATGAGCCTTCTGCCTTAAATATATTTGATGACTTTGTTTAGACTTTGCATTTTGGCTCTGCTTCATGCTTCATGAAATCTTTCCAGTGTTGAACTTGTAACAAAAATAGCAAACTGTGTTTTGCGTTTCCTTGTGTAGGTTTTAAACTTATTGGCTCTGTCAAATTTATGGCCAATGACTCTGGAAAAAGTCAGCTATTTTCCATGCGCATAAAAGCAGTTCTGATCTAAAGTGCGCTTAAGCATTTTGATTCAATGCTGTCTTCTGCTTTATGTTTTTTTAATCAAACTGATTTAGTTCAACCGTCTGCATTCTTAAATATCCAAGAGTAATCTACTGCTATATGGAACTTATATAACTCATATTGTGCCTTAAGCACCATCAACGCTCGAACTAATATCGTTTCAGATGTTCAATTCTTTGGGCTATATTAAATGAACTAGCTTTAAAGTTATCAAAAACCAACTACCTGATCAATTCAATCCGCGACCCGCTCACACCACTTGCGAAATAACCTTTATTCTAGCATGACTTTCTTCTAACGTACTCGTTCCCACGCACCTCAATAAGATTCCTAATAGACTTTCTTCGCAATAGAAATGGTCTCACTAAGAATTCCCTTTCTCACACCCACGAGTCACTTGATCATCTGAATCATTATAACTATCTTCACGAATGTCCTACAATTCTTATCAGTCTGCATCAGCGCTTGTTAATGATTGCATACTGACAAAACTATATACTGGCAATCATAAATAGTTTGAAAAGACAGGATCGTACTCTCTAGCTTAGTAAGTGTATCACTTCACATATAAAATATTCTGTATGAGATTGTTTTATCATTTCTCTTCTCTGTACTCATCAGGACCAAGTCCACACACTAACCATTTCTTGGCTTTTGCATTTTTCTCCCATTTCCTTAGATCTTCAGCAGTACAATCTACTCTTGTCTTTGGAACATCCACTCCTTCAGCATTCTTCTCGGTTGTGGCTAAAGGACCATCAGTGATGATATCCCAAAGCTCATAGTTTTCGCCCATTATATGGTCCCTCATTCTGTTTTTCCACCAGGAGTAGTAGAGGCCATTGAAGAGAGGAGGCCTGACAGTGGATTGCCCTTCCCAGTTCCCAGGTGGTGCACTCATGTTGATCTTTTCCTAAGGTGTTAACCTCTTCAAGGATAACCCGCTCTGATACCAATTGATGTTATAAACGTCAATACCACACAAGAGGGGGGGTTGATTAGTGTGGTACCTAATTTTCGCGTTAGAAGAACCTGGTTCTTCTAAGTGTTCTAACACAGCAGTTTGCGGAATAATAAATGCTGAAAGTAAAGTGCACAGAGATTTTTACGTGGAAAACACCTGGCTCAAAAGGTGAAAAAACCACGACCTACTACTCAGTAGGATTTTTCCAAACTCCACTAAAATCACTGAGCCAAAAACTGCATTTACAAAACTCTTTGTAAACCTAAGGATTAACTCTAATCCCAGTGTAGCACACAGCCTCAACTGTTGCGACACTTTCAAGTTAACTCTAACTTGAATACTCAATATACCTATTACAATTGCTTCTAGATAAAGCTGAAAGGTACAATATGAAAACCTACTACAATTGAACTAAACTTAGAATAAACACAATGATGAAACTGGTTCTTCTATCTTAGTTCATGTAGCTTCAGACGTGCACACTTGTATCTCGCATATGCTGCTTGCAAATCAGACTTGATCTTTTTGCTCTCAAATATGCTTAACTTCTGCTTATGTGCAACTATCTGTAAAAGAGAACAATCGTTATATTTATAGAGTTAGTAATCAGAGTTTGATAAGAACTCGAATTGTGGATCCTTTGACAATTCGAATCCAAGAACAACTCTAACTCCTAATCCATATCCTTGATCCGGATATAATTCTCTTTTCATAAGGAGACTTCAACTCCTTATCCTATATGCAATCTTTTCGATCAATTCAGAAGATATTGTTGTTGATCCTTGAGACTTATCTTCTTCACGCGTATGTCACATGTGTAAGCATATGAACACTGTGTCTCACATGATGGACCTGGTTCATGACTGAGTTTATTTTGTCAATCTTCAAAATTTCATCTGAACTTGGGCCAACAGTTTCAAATAAACTTCTTGATAAAGAAGATGAGCAAATGATCAAAATGATCATAATAAGGAGGCAAGTGATCTAGAAGATCACATGACATAACACTTCATAAAATCTCATGAGAGATTCAGGTACCTGAATATATGAATGAAGAGATCTCTATGTTATGTCTTTATGAAAAATAAAGAGGTTGAAACCGATATAAAATATTTGTCGACGACATCGATAATAACGCTAAATATATATGAGGATCTTAAGTCTGAAGAAACAATTCAAGTAGAATTTGGTTTCATATGAAGACATGTAGTTTTGGACATGTAGTTCAAATACTTAAAAGTATAAAGTCAATGATATGTGCTATCAGTTTTCGATATCTTATTTGTCTAGGATGACATGAAAACTTGATATGTATCTAAAGTCTATTATATGGCTTATATGACTTAAAAATCCCTGAAGGATTTAAATTGCTTAAAGCATATAGAATTCATGGTCATGAAGTACTACATCCTCAGTGCAATTTGTGTACAAATGTATCTTGCTATAACTATAGGCATGATAATATGATACCAAGAGTTTTCACCTCTATGTGAAGATATTGAACTGACGATTCCAACAAGATCATATAAAGACAATTCATCTCTATCAAGAATGATGATTTCAAGGTGCAATATATTCATTCAAGTTAATATGGCTGATTTGTTTATCAAATATCTACCAAAGATCTTTTGAAGATGGTGCACAAGATTGGAATGCAAATGCTTAAGGATGTGAAAGTGATGCTCTCATGAGGGGGAGTTAATACGCGTTGTACTCTTTTTCCCTTACAAGGTTTTGTCCCACTGGGTTTCCTTGCAAGGTTTTTAACGAGGCAACCAAAAGGCGTATTGTTATATATGTGTACTCTTTTTCCTTCTCTAGAATTTTTTTCCCACTGGGTTTTATTTTAGTTAAGGTTTTAACGAGGCACATTATCTGTTGAATAGACATTCAAGGGGGAGTGTTATAAATAGAATTTTATTTATGGTGAATGTCTATATTTAGAGAGATTCTAGGGTTCATTGCTTGGTTGCTAAGTCACCCTCTCCCTATAAATAGAGGATCCTATTCTATTTTAATTCATCCCAAAATTCAATAAGAATTCTCTCTCTCTACTTTTCTCTGCAATATTGTTCTTCTTCTTTTATTATTTTATAGCAAATTCTTAATTTTGATTATTTTTTGGAAAAAAAGTAACAACTTTAGCACCAACAGAATAAAAAATATGTAAGAACTACTAATGCCTTGTATATAAGGCAATATTAGATATTTAGAAGGGCTACAATAAAAGTTTCCATAAAAGAAGAAGTTACATTAGGGTTAGGATGTGCGGCTGCTGAATATGCATTTTTGACAGGAAAACTAACCCTAGAGAAAGAGAAAAATATATTGAAATTTCAACGTAAGGTCTACGCATAACCCATTAGTTACCAAAAAAGAAAATAAGAAGTGGCGGTGCGTTTGTTATATATAGCCATATAGCCTAGCCCTTGAACAATTAAGTCTTGGAGGGAGATGAAGAAGCTTTCATACATTGAAGCTATATCTGAGTGGCGTGGCAGATTCTTGACGGATGATCATCTATATATGAATCTGCCACCCCACTCAGATCTGATTTCAATTTATGATATTATTCCCTATTGATCCATCGTTGTTAACAACGTTACATGTATGTTTTTATGTTCTTTTTTCAATAATTATTTTAAGTCTAGTAGGAAAAAAATAATTAAGGTGATGTAAATCTTAGTCCCTTCGGGGACATCCGATAAAACAACACAAATCTTGATTATGATGTTCATAGTTTAATTATTGTAGAAAGAAGGGCCATCATAATGAGTTAAAGAATACTTAAGTTTCTGTGTCATTCGAATCAAATCTAGGTTTCATACTTTCATTGAACATATTGTTGATGGTGCTGTTATTCTCTGGACAACTCCTCTTTAACTCTTCAAGAAAGTCAGATGGAATTGTTAGATCATGCAAACCTGTCTCCATAAAGTTACTGAGCCTTGGCCGAATGAATTCACAACCAATCTTCCCAATGTTATGTCCTCCTTCAGGTGTAAGAAAAAAAGAACAAAGAATTTCAATAAATGCATGTATATTGCAAAAATAAGGGGCAGTGTATGAAGACTAAAGTAATGGGATCAGAAAGATTACCAAGGAGTGCCACTGTTTCCCTCTCATCAAATCCTCTAAGGGAAAATAGCCTAAGAGTTTCGCTGATATTCCCATTTGGTCGTGGAATTTCAGCCATGGCTACATCAAAAAGTGACTCCTTACTATCCCTTCTTCCCGTTAACACGGGATAATATGGTCCACCAGCCTAAGATGTAGGAAAACACCACATGATAAGAAAAGACTGCAGAATGTCCAAATTAAAAAAATTAAAAAAAAAAAAAAAAAAAATTGAAGACCAATGATCCTAATTTCAGGTTTCTATCAAACTCAAGCTTGAAAACATCAATGATCAAATTGATATCTTAAAGAGAATTTGATGAGCCTTTCTGCCTTAAATATTTGATGACTTTGTTTAGACTTTGCTATTTTTGGCTTCTGCTTCATGCTTCAATGAATCTTTCCAGTGTTGAACTTGTACAAAATAGCAAACTGTGTTTGGTTTCCTTGTGTAGGTTTTAAACTTATTGGCTCTGTCTAAATTTATGGCCAATGACTCTGAAAAAGTCAGCTATTTTCCAGCGCATAAAAGCAGTTCTGATCTAAAGTGCTTAAGCATTTGATGTCAATGCTGTCTTCTCTTTATGTTTTTATCAAACTGATAGTTCAACCGTCTCATTCTTAAAATATCCAAGAGTATCTACTGCTATATGGGAACTTATATAACTCATATTGTGCTTAAGCACTCACCTCGAACTAATATCGTTTCAGTGTATCAATTCTTGGGCTATATTAAATGAACTAGCTTAAAGTTATAAAAACAACTACCTGATCAATTCATCGCGACCAGCTCACACACTTGCGAAATAACCTTTTGAATTTCTAGCATGGACTTTCTTCTAACGACTCGTTCCTCACCACCTCAATAAGATCCTAAATAGACTTTCTTCCAATAGAAATGGTTCCACTAAGAATTCCCTTTCTCACACCCACAGTCACTTGATCATCTGAATCATTATAACTATCTTCCACGAATGTCCTAAATTCTTATCAGTCTGATCAGCGCCTTGTTAAGATTGCAACTGAAAAAACTATATATGCAATCCATAAAGTGAAAAGAAGGAAGTACTTCTCTAGCTAGTAAGTGATCACTTCAATATACTATTCTGTATGAGATTGTTTTATCTTTTCTAGGAGGTGGTGAAGTGGGTTATAGTTATTTGGCTAAATCATATCAATACATTCTTGTGAGAAATTCAGTAAAATAGACAGTTGAGAGTAGCATAGCGTTAGAGTCACCGTTCCCACAGTTCCCAGAAAAAAATATATAAAAAAATAAATAAATAAAAAGAGCCAGAGATTATCATTATCAGAACCGCACTGTTAACAAATAATACCACTAGAAGGTATCAGAAGTTTTTGCTATGTAATAGCAACATCTGAATATGCACAGCAAGATCATTTAACGATATTCATTTGAGAAACTTCAGGTAGTTACTATAGGAAACAAAGAATTAGGCTAGACTCATACCAGAACGACACCATCTCTTGTTGCAAGGACAAGGATATCAGAACAAGAGACCACCCCAGAGCATGCCTCCTCAATTTCATCCTTTATCATGTCGATGAAATTGAAGCCTTTCAGCGTCCGATTTGGGATTGCCTCACGTTCAACAGTCTCATTCTTACTACTGTCAGCAAGCAAAACAGATGCATCACAGCCCTGGAATGAACAGAACAAGAAATTTTCATAAATATAAGAACTTAGAAAGAAAAAACAAAGAAATTATATCGAACCTTGACTACCTTCACAGGTGACATTAGTAGTTGTCAGAGTGTTAGAGTGGCTATTAGGATTTAAGCGTAAAAACTTCATCGACATTATACATCTCCAACTTTTCCTTTAAAGCAAAGGGAATACTGAACTCAGTAAGCAAGGAGAGCAGAGTGGTAAGGCTGAAAAATATATAGTTAGAATAAGAGGAGTGTGCATTTGAAACTCAAAGAGCAACTGACCGTGGAAACCAACTGCATGTAAATCAAACAACTAAGACGAGGCACAAATATACATGAGAACATACTAAGAATGACAAGTGCACGGCACACAAATTAAGATCAAAAAGCAAATTAAAAAGAAAAAAAATCGACAAATACATTTGAGGAAATACAAAGGCTATTGCTCACATCAGGAACTACAGGGCTGGCCACGGAAGAACAAATTGTGCACACACGGGGATAAGTAGAAATAAAGCCACAATATGTTTTCTGAAAATGACAACAGTAACTGACTCAGTTGGAGCAGTTAAGATCCTTGATTTCGAAAAGACTAACCCAAGGCACGAGAACAAATAAATACATATGAAGAATTAAAACCAGCATCATATTAAGACTTGCTTCTCCACATAATTAAAGAATCCCTAAGCCCATCCCCAATTCCTAAGTCCTTTCTCAAAAAGAAGAAAAAGTAAACCTAGTGCTAGAACCCACAGAACACTCGATTAGAATCAATGCACAAAAAGAAAAACACACATCAAGAATTGGAATATTGCAACAAAGTAACAAAATGTGGAGCACAAAGAAATTACAGACTAAGAAAAAAATGAAAGAAGAAAATGAAGAGTAAATGGGAGAGGAGGTTACGGTACCCCAATGAAACAATCATGGAAGAGTAGGCGCAAGAGTTGGGCGGGTGCGCTGTGTTGCATCAGCACTATCCTCTGCATCGTAGACCACACCATTTCCTCCACATCCCTTTCGCATTGTCCTTCATAATAATTATATCTGAGCGGCGTTGCAGCTAAAGCGTCAGTTTCTGGCATATTGCTTTGGGCCATTACTGTTGTCGCTAGGAACGCAACCGTAACCGCCATGAAAACCCAGTTCTTGCTCATCATTTTGAATTTTGAGTGAAAAATGTAGCCAGAGTTTGGAGTATCTTACCTTCTAATTGTACCTCTATATATATATATATATATATATACTAGTTACTGTATGTCGAGTTAAGTAATAGTATACGATTTTATTAATTAATAAACATATTTTAAAAAACTGATTTGAGTAAGTAATTATACATGAATAAGGTGCATGCAAGTTTTGATGAATTATCAAGAACTGCATCATTTTACTTTGGAAGTGTTTAATCTTTGTATCCGTCAATTTAACCCAATTTATATGCAATATATTTTTTGCATCTATTCATCTATATGATGTGCAATCCAAGGCAAGAGCTTCGTGCCTTTTTATAACCTGACATATTGTAACGACCCGGCCGGTCGTTTTAAGAATTTACGCCCCGATCCCCTATTAACTGCATTCCCCGTGTTTGTTTCTGCTGTTGTGAGTTGCCGGGAGGGTTTATTTGGAGTTTCGGAGAGTTTTGGGACACTTAGTCCCCTATATGAGAGATAAGTTTTAGAATTTGGACCGTAGTCGGAACAGTGTGAAGACGGCCGCAGAATAGAATTCCGTTGGTTCCGTTAGCTCCGTTGGGTGATTTCAAGTTTAGGAGCGTGTTCATATTGTGTTTTGGAGGTCCGTAGCTTATTTAGGCTTGAAATGCCGAAAGTTGAATTTTTGAAGTTTCCGGTACGATAGTGAGATCTTGATCTAAGAGTCGGAATAAAATTTCGGAAGTTGGAGTAGCTCCATAGTGTCGAATGTGACGTGTGTGCAAAATTTCAGGTCATTTGGACGAGGTTTGATAGACTTTTTGATTGAAAGCGTAATTCGGAAGTTTTTGGAATTCTTAGGCTTGAATTCGATGATGATTCGATGTTTCGATGTTGTTTTAGGTGTTTTAAGGATCGATATAAGTTTGGATAGTGGCATATGACTTGTTCGTGCTTTTGGTTGAGGTCCCGGGGGCCTCGGGATGATTTCGGTTGGTTAACGGAAGAGTTAGGAATTTGGTTTGGCAGCTAAAGCTTTTCCATTTGCTGTCACAACCGCATCTGCGGCTAGGGGACCGCAGGTGCGGACTCGCAGAAGCGAGCATGGAGCCGCAGATGCGGCCACAAGCGAAGGCAGCAAAGTTCGTAGAAGCGGAAGCGTTACCGCACCTGCGGGACCGCGGATGCGGAATCTGGGTCGCAGGTGTGGAGATGGAGATTTTAGTGAAAACCGCAGAAGCGGTAGCGCAGAAGCGGTTGTTCGACCGCAGGTGAGGATTTACTGGGCAAAAAATAAGAATTTCGAGGGTTTAGTTTCAAAAGTTAGAAAATTAATTTGGAGCTCGGGAGAGGACGATTTTGGGAGATTTTTGAAGAGGAAATCAGTGGGTAACGATTCCTAATCGCTTTCTAGTTATATTCCTATAATCTTATCTTAGTTTTTTCATTTAATTTCGGATTTGAGATGAAAATTGGGAAAAAAATTGGAGAAAGTTCTTAGACCTAAATTTTGAGTTTTGATTGGGAATTTGACAATGGATTTGGATTATTTTGGTATGGTTAGACTAGTGAGAGTATGAGGATTTTGAAAATGTAAATTTTACCCGATTCCGAGACGTGGGCCCGGATGGCGTTTTGGTCATTTTCCTAATTTCGCGTATTAGCTTAGAATTTATTTGTAGAATCAGTTACTTGAAGTGTTATTTACATTATGCAATTGAATTGAATAGATTCAAGCCATTTGGAGTCAAGTACTCGTGGCAAGGATGTGGTTTCGGGTTGATTTTTGAGTCGGTTCGAGGTAAGTGGCTTGTCTAACCTTGTCTGGGGGAAACTCCCCTTAGGATTTGGTATTATTGATATTTGAAATGCCTTGTACGTGAGGTGACGAGTGCGTATTTGTGCTAATTGTTAAAAAATTCAGTTTTCATTAAGTACTTAGAATTGTGTTTCTTTTTCCTGGTTATACTACTTGCAATTTAAGCCTGTTGTTAGCTTAGGGAAGCATGTCTAATTGACTTAATTGCTTATTTGCTCAACTGCCTTATTTGAATTATGTGCAGCATGCTAGGTTAGAAACCTTGGTGTGAAATTTGATTGAATTGAGTATTCTTCTTGTTGCTGCTGTGTATTTACTTTGGGACGACGGGACGGTATCCCGGGAGCCCCCTCCCAGTATGTTTACTTTGGGACTACGGATTTGTATTCCGGGAGATCCCCCTGCACTTTTACATTGGAACTACGGGACTGCACCCGGTAGATTCCCCCAATATTGAGTATTTACATTTAGGACTACGGATCGGGAATCCGGTAGATCCCCGCGCACTATGAGTTGGACTACGGGACAGTATCCCGGTAGATCCGCTAGATATTTATATTTCGGACTACAGGACGGTATCCTGGGAGATCCCCGTTTGTTATCTCTGTGTGAGCTGTATTCCTTTCCGTGATTATTCTGTCTCTGTTATAGCTGTTGTTGTTCTTTCTATCCTGTGTTACTTATTACTGTGCACTTAACTATACTGTCTTATTCTATACTGTTATACCTTGTATTTCATTTAACCTCAGTAGGGCCCTGACTTTCCTCGTCACTACCCGACCGAGGTTAGGCTTGGCACTTACTAAGTACCGCTGTGGTGTACTCATGCCCTTCCTGCGCATGTTTTTCATGTGCAGATCCAGGTACTTCCACTCAATCTTATCACGCTTGAGGCGAGGCGCTTTGTAGAGACTCCGAGGTATATCTGCCACGTCCGCAGACCGAAGAGTCCCTTTCTATTCTTAGCACTAGTGTAGCCCTTTTCTGTATTTTTCCCTTGTTGGTAGACATTTCTGGAGTTAGAGCTTATTATGAAATCTTTTAGCTTGTGATTCATGGGGTTCCCAGATTTTTGGAGTGTTAGATTGAGATTCTTGTACTGTTATATGCCAGGCGGCATCTGAACACTATTTAACTTTATTATCTCGGTTTTTAATTACTTTCTTTTCCGTAATTGTTTCTTTTTCCGCAATTGTTAGGCTTACCTAGTTGTAGAGACTAGGTGCCGTCGCGACAGTTCTCGAAGGACGAACTGGGATCGTGACACATATCAAATTGAAAGTAAAACAATCTCAACGGATGCGAATGATTAATTGCACCCTTATAGAAAAAACATCTAGAGGGAGTAAAAGACAACCGCTTATAATAGGGTACTTATGAAATTTTAAAAATACCTAAATTATTAAAACAAAGATTTCAGAAAATAATTGTACATCATACAATAAAGTATAAGTTCTTGTGATTGACCAATACATATTTTAGGAACTTCTCGCGAATATCGGAATGGTTTAATTTATTCTCCTAACCAATTCTTCTTTCGGAGAACGGGTCATAGAAGACTAATTATATAACATATTCTTATCTTGAATTAATAAATTACGAAAATTAGTTCAAGCACAGAATTGACGCTATTACTTCTCTGAATATCATAAAGTCGATCCTGAGGGATGTACCGGCAACCATATACAATAAGAAGTAACCTTGTGCGTGCTTCAAGTTCTTCAAAATAATATTAGACACCGGGGACGAACTTAGGATTCTTAGAGGATAGGTTCACCACTAATTTGATAGTATAAAAAAAAGGGATTTTTTCATTCCTATACACTATTGGAAACTTTATTGCCCTAAATGTTCATGTTTACTAAATTACCCTACCTACACAAGTTTTGTTTACAAAATATATATATTCCACCTTAAAAGGTTTCCAATCCATTATTAGTGCCTTCAATTAAGGGATTTAGTTACACCATTTACCTTCTTTTTTTTTTCTCTTCTTCTCTTTTAATATCTTCATTAGTAATAGAAATTATATTGTCACTCGTTCATCTTATGACTAGCTATTCACACTAGCTGTGAATTTGCACTAACTCATACAATTTGATATCACTTGGTTAGCCAATGTTAGTTTTAGTTGAAATCTCTGGACTATTTTAGACCGATATTATTTTTATTTCTTAGTTTTATTTTCAACGTTTTTTCTTCTTCTAGTTTACACCAAAATTATTCCTTTAGTTTTACTTTTCTTTTTTTTAAACTTTCTTTCCTTCTTGTTTACGGGGCAGCGTGTAGGTTTATTTTTCACACACAAAATAACTATAACAACCATGATTCTAAGAAAGGTAATTTCTATATATCTTAAAATATGATACCAATAAAAATATTTTTTTTATTACAATAATTTGTCTGTTATACTTAGGGTCTATCTATTGTTAATAATAAAGAAATTAATTAGTTCCTAAATAAAATGTGAGATTATTTTATTTAGTNGTTATAATGACAAGTGTCATAATTTCTATTAACAATATAATTATACTAAATATTGGATAATATAATAAATAAAAATACATAACAAAAAAATTATTTGATGACAATATAAGTCTCTTTAATTTAATGGAGATTTTATTTATTAAAATTTAGACAATATCTATTCTATTTATATAGAGTAGGATAATCAAATAATTGTGATATGTAACATCGAAAAATTAACAAAGTAACAAATATTTTTTTAATATTGACCGCGCATCGCGCGGGTACGACTACTAGTAAGCATTAAAGGAGGACGAACCTGTCCAACAAAAGCGAAAAATAACACAAATAGAGATTTAAAATGTAAAATAGTTAAAAACATTTACACTCCTCAACTAAAAATCAAAATTTTCCTCCAACTTTGAAAATGAAACATTCTTCCTTCATATGCAATATCGAATCCATTTTATCGTTGACATTTCCAGTGCCTCTCTTTATGTAATATATTTGAATGATTTTTTATTCTTTTTACTTGGACGGCTTATCTATATTTAAATTAAATTATATTTTAATATAATAATTTTAGTTCATTAAGAATATATATGGTATAATTCTTTCATGTTTGTAACAAAATCTACTGTTATTTTTCATGATTATTATTTTAAGTATGTTCTTAAGTCTCACCTTCTCTTATTCTCTACTGTGATTATCATTTTCTGAGTTATGATTATCATTAATAAAATACTATCTAAATTAAAT